ATCCTAGCCATTGGCATGAAGCGTTATTAGTTTTTCAGGCTAGCGAGCGTTTTATTCAGAACCTCTCCCTATCATATATATATACTATATACTACTATATATAATATATATAATATATATACTTATATATTATATTATAAAAGAAAAATGGGTATGCTGCCGTACCAAACATAAAAAGCTTGTGCGTGCATCCACAGATCCAGTGTGTGAGAGAGAGGATTGAGAGAGTGAGNAGAGAGGATTGAGAGAGAGAGAGAGAGAGAGAGAGAGAGAGAGAGAGAGAGAGAGAGAGAGAATTCTTGGGGAGAGAATCAGGAGGTGGGGATCCTCTCACGTAACAAAGTAAGGAACAAGGATAACCTCTTCTTGCTAACCTTTAAAAAAAAAATCTATATAAAGGCCTACCATAGGAGCTATATCCATACATTTCTTATCACTCACTCTCCCTCTCTCTCTCTCTCTCTCACTCTAATGGATTCTCTCTCCTCTCTCTTGTACTCTTGTGCCTTTATTCTCCTTCTGAATCCCCTAACATGTTTTTGTTCACAAGGTGATGGGGCTGAGGCAAAAGATCATCATGTTGTCAGTGTTCAATCTTTGTTGCCCAAAGATGTATGCTCTCCATCCAAAGGTTTGTACATTTATTAATCTACCAAATATCATCTTCTCACTAATCATTGTACTTTTTTTAGTGTACTTCGTATGCTTACTCATAAATAAAAAGTCCTTTAGAAAAAGGGTTGAAAATTGATCAACGTTTCCCACTAGAATAACTTTTCTTTGCAAATAAAAGTATAAAATTTTAATTATGGATAAAACTCAAACTCTTAACTCTCTAATTATTGGCTGAGCAACTTAAGATGTATTACTTTTATGGCGACCTTCTCAATAAAGGATTAAATTAAGCATAAACTATTTGAAGAAGATCATCATATTATTGCTAATAATATTGAATCTATTAACTAGAATTATGTGTTCATACTTTTCATTTTGTTGATTTGTTTTTTTTTTCATAAAATTATATGTGCAAATACGCATTTAAACAATTCTAAATTGTTTCATTTTCCTTTCTCAAATCAAATAATTAAAAGGATTCGATTCCTCAAAATTTAGGTTTCGTATTCTAATTAAGTGCCTTTAAATTGATAGGTAGAAAGTTTCTTTCTTTCTTTCCTTTTCTCTTCTTTCTTGTTCTCTTCAACTTGATGGGTACAGATCATAGCTAATTAATTGCTTTTTTGCACGAATTTCTCTTTGACATCCGAATACTTACTGTTACGATTATTGTAAATATCAACATCAAATTAAATCTTTTTATTGTAGGCTTGTTTTTCACAAAATATATTTACCTTTCATTGATTGCTATTGAAAACCAAGGCAGCTTCTATATTAATTAAAACTTTAAAGGTGTTTTCGGTATTGTCCTCTATTTTAAAGGGTGTTTCTATGGAGAAACATCTAATTGGATTTAATTGTACAACTCAATATTTTTTTTATTGTTAATAATTATTTTTGGGACTGTTATGCTCTTGACGAGGAAAGAAGAAAGAAATATTGGGGTTTCAAAAAATCAAAAGAAAATAGATGGGTTGGGGGCGATGAGGAGCGGGACAGAGATTAGTACCGACGAAAGAAATAAAGCGAGGAAAAGAATTTTTTTATTTTATGAAGAGGAAAATAATAAACTAATGAGGGTTTAAAGTAATTTAACCATATTTTAAAGATATATATACCATGGGGATTTTTTAAAAAATCAAATCAAAAGTTTTAGATGTCTAATTTTTTTTTAAATATGGAGATTGGAGGGTCTCGTACACAAACCAAGACGATTTGGGGTCTATCGTCTAAGAGCATCTCCAACAGCTTCCCCATTTCCTATTTTCAGAGAATTTAGTTAGGTTTTTGGTCCAACAGATTCCCCATCTCATTCCCCAAAATAGGGATGGAGGAGAAAAAATGGGGAAACTTCCCCAAATCTGCAGCATTCTCTAAATTTTTTGAGAAAAAAAAGGATTCTTCAAAATGGGGAAGCTGTTGGAGTTGGTGTAAAAATAATTTAGAGAATATGACTTTTGCTTCCCCATTTTGAAGAAAATTTTGGAGAAGTAGTTGGATATGCCCTAATACTAACAAAACCCATTAAAAATAAAACCAGCCAGATGTGGGCCCCAACTCCACTAACCGACCAGTTTGACTTGGTTTGGGCTCGGACCCAATCTCCTGTGCTCCACTTCCTTTAGCAAGAGCTTGGTGCGCCCGTGTGCCTTTTAGGTCGGTGAAACTTTATAAGATAAATGTATGTATGTATGTATTCGCAAACCCTTCACGCTACCATTTTTTATAAAAATCACTGATCCTCACTGAGCTTTTCCCCCCAATTTATCGATCGAATGATGTCAGTGATCGTCAATAAGTTGAAATAGGGGTCTAATTATACAAAGTTCCTTTAGAACATGAAGATTAAGATTCATGGGTATCGTTTTAATCGGCCTATATATAATATTTTCCTTAAGTAGAAAAATTGTTGGGACATAAAAATGCAGACTTCAATCTTTTTTATCCTAGTTTTGAAATTTTGGCGAAAGAGGATCGATGGTTTCCTTTGAAATATTATCGCCAGTAAAGGCCCGTTTGTTTGCAAAAATTGGAGGCGAAAAGCCTGCAAAAGTTCTGAAAAAATCAGAACTTTTACGGCCTTTCCGCCTCTAATTTTTGCATCCGAACGTGCCTAACGTGCTGCTACTGCCCATAATCTTCAGACTACTAACGCTGCCAGGTTGATTTTTTTTTTTTTGAAGAATTAGATCCTTCAAAGCTCGAAGTAGTCCACCGTCACGGCCCATGCTCTCCTCTCAAACACAAGAGCCAGTCGACCCGGTGTTGTGCGTCGGTCGCAGGATTTTTCTGTGGGTGGGCTTGGCCGGGCTTGTGGTTTTGA